TAGAAGTACATTTATTGGGTCAAAGGTTTTCAATGCTTTCAAATTCTTGACTATATTGCCAAATTGTGCCTCAGAAAAGCTACACTAATTTACCTTCCTATTGGCAGTAGATGATGCCTAACACAAGATATTTTAATTATTTAATATGTGGATTTAAAAATGAGGTTTTATGGAAAGTAACCGCACAGGGTAATCTGATCATAAATTCCCAACTGGACAAGTCATGGTGGGTAGCTATCCCTCAGGCCTATAACTTATTTGGTGAAAGGTTTTAAGCCAGCCCTGTCCATTTATCTTGTGCATCTATGTTAACACACTTTGAAATAAGCCTTAACCACTCTCAAGAAAGCACATAATCTTGTTAATTATCCTATAATCCAATCCCTGCCTTGCTTTTCCCCATCTCCATGTAATCTTCCTTACATTCCCTCCTTAATCTTAAATGTATAAAAAAGGCTGAAAAATGGCTATTCTCTGGAGCATTTGGGATGTTGCTCCCCAGCATATGCTCCCCAGCATATGTCCTCAATTTGGCTCAAATAAACTCATAATAATTCTCTACAGGTTTGAACGTTTCTTGTGTTGACAAAAACTGTCAATATGGTGGGGAGAAAATGGAATTGGTATTTCTTTCTTTATCAGAAAGGCTGAATACCTATTAATTTTAATAAGTAGTTTTATTTCTCCTTGTATGGCATTACCATTATTGTTAACATTGTTATATTAATCTACATTTCTGGGCTAAGAGGATATGCTCAAAGCCATTCATTAATTGAAAGAACTCAAAGTCAAATTACTTCTTAGGAAGAAATGGCTTGTTTTCCTTTTTCTTCTCTTTTTTCTCAACCTTCAGGGAGAACCCTGCACTGAACTGTCGTCTTGTTTTTCAATCAAGTTTTAGCAATACAATATTCTTGGTACAAAAACAAGCTAGATTTATGATGCTCTGCAATATTCCAGAATGAAGTAAGAAATATTTTAATAATCTCAGCATCTTTAACTGATGATAGATGATGATGAATTTCTGAAAATTAACATCTACTTGAGGCACCTTTTGCTACCTTCCACGTGTGTGAGAGGAGAGTGACAGTTTCTCTACAATCAATTTGTAATCTCACACTCAAACACCTAAATGGTTTGCATTCACATATACAACTCATCTAGACATTTCAGAAAGAACCTAAGTATACCCTTACAAGCAAATCCATGAAGAGGGCTATTTAAGTAGCATTTTTATGTTAGTATATTTAGTTCTACTTGTATGGTTCTACAGCCACTAAAACATGAATGGAGGTAAGCCAGTAGTTATTTTGTCCATTTAAATCACACTGCAAAATTAGATAAAACCTGTGTATTATGCATTTTATTCTGGATTCTTTTGCTTGCTTGGATTAGCTCACTCAGAGTTGACATCAGCTCTATCTACTTAAAATATGAATTTGAATGAGCTTTCATTATCAGCTATGTAATCTTCTTGATTGGGCGATTTGCCCCTTTCATATTTGATGAAAAAAAGGGGGATAATAAAAGATAAAACCTCTGACACACTAAGCAAGCACTAAAATAAAACAAGCTATTAAAGTGTGGGTTTCAAGTGCATTTATACATTTTAAAAAACTCATATCCCACAGAAACAGACTCATAGATACAGAGAATAGACTGATGGTTGCCTGAGGGGAGGGTATTGGGAACTGGGTAAAAAGGTGAAGGGATTGAGAAGTAAAGATTGGTAGTTACCAAATAGTCATGGGGATATAAAAAGTACAGCATAGGGAATATTATCAATAATATCTAATCTAATAAAAGACAAATAGGGTAATTAACCGTACCTCCGATACGCTTCCCATTGGCTAATCAGGGTGATATGCAAATTAACTGCCAACAAAGATGGCAGTTAATTTGCATACGTAGGCGCCAAGCAATGGATCAAAGCCGGCTGGCCCGGGACAGGAGCAGCGAGGGAAGGCAGGCAAGGCGAGCGAAGAGCAAAGAGGGGGGCCCATGCGCCACGGGCCGGGGGACTTCTTAGCTAAGCGCCCCGGCCCACAAGGCCGGCCCCCAGAAGCCTCAGCAGCCGGTCTTGCCTTGAGGCCCGGGATCCGCCCATCAGCGGGTCCAGGCTGCAAGGCAAGGTCCGCCCCCAGAAGCCCCAGCAGCGGGTCTTGCCTTGGGGCCCGGGATCCGCCCATCAACGGGTCCAGGCTGCAAGGCAAGGCCCGCTCCCAGCAGCAGGTCTTGCCTTGAGGCCCGGGAACTGCCCATCAGCGGGTCTGGCCTGCAAGGCAAGGCCTGCTCCCAGAAGCCCCAGCAGCAGGTCTTGCCTTGCAGCCTTGGAATCACCCATCAGTGGGTCCAGGGCTGCAAGGCAAGGCCCTCCCCCAGAAGCCCCAGCTACTTTAAAAATAGAAGGATCTCCTTTTGAACCAATCTGTTTAGATTCATGATTAGTAAAACAGTATGGAACTAATGAAATACAGTGATAGGAATTAGGAAGTGCGACACTGATGGTTCTGGGCATGTGAAGGGTGAGGGACAGAAGGGTACACATGGTCTTCCCTTCAGTTCTGCTGGAGAGATGAGCTCTGAGGGCCGGAGCTGTTCCATGCCCAGAGGAGGTGGGTGTGGTCAGTGGCTCTGTTTCAGAACTTC